TTTCCTTAAAGAATTAATTTTTTTAATCACACTTGCAGGAAGCAAAAAATTAGACATGAGAAACATAGGTAGGGAAGATAGCATAGAGTTTATGCGAATGATACGCTTGCCTAATGATAGGTGTTTATTGTTCCAACCAGCCAATCTCTTTATGATCTTATTCACTAGGCTTCTCAGTGTATCCTTATTCCTTGTAGTGACTCCAATTAGCATTCTCAAATAAGTCATAGGCAAATTACCAATTTTGTAGTTCAAAAAATATGCACAGCTTTGTAATTTGTTTCCTTCCATGTTCAAACCAACTAGTATATTTTTCTTGTAATTAATTTTAAGCCTAGACACCACTTCAAAAGATCTCATAATACACTTCACAGCTTTGATGTTGTCTTCCGATGCTTCATTAAACATGATGGTGTCATCTGCAAATTGAAGATGAGATATTGATAAACCATTTCCACCTATCAGTACCCCTTTGTACTTTTCGTTCTCCATTATAAATCTAAGCAAACCAACAAGACCTTTAGTGACAATAAGAAACAAGAAAGGGGAAAGCCCCTTTATTTTACGTCTTTACTCATAGTAAATTCTTGTGTAGGGCTATCATTAACTAAGATAGATACTATACTCGATCTCAAGCATTCCATTATCCATCCACTCCACATACCATGAAACTCCATTCTATCTATCATGTAATCCAAAAAATCCTAGGATACTTTATCATAAGCCTTCTCAAAGTCTACCCTTAAAATGAAGCTGCTTTTCCTCCTTTTTTTTTTTAATCTTGTCCATTGTCTCATTTCCCACCAGCACATTGTCCATTAGTTGCCTTCCTCATATGAATGTTGATTGGTTCTCACTTATCAAGCTTTCCATGACCTTCTGAAGCCTATTATCTAGCAAATTTGCAATGAGTTTGTACATACACCCAATCAAAGATATGGATGTGTAATCTTCTATCTTGATTGGGTTCTCCTTCTTAGGGATTAATACTATAAAAGAGGCATTTAATCCCTTTACTAGTTTTCCATTCCTCTAGAAATCAACAACAAACTTTATCACATCTTTTTTCACCGTTTCCCATGTCAGATTTATGAGACCGAAATTAAACCCATTTGGACTAGGGGCCTTGTAGCTCTCGCAATCCCATACTGCCTCCTTGATCTCATCTTCTGAAAATCTAGAAATTAGCTTCACCTTCTATTCTTTTGATAATTTCTTGAATCCTATTCCATCAAGCTTTGGCTTTTCCAATTCTCCTCAGCAAAACAGCTTCTCAAAATGCTTTGCTATCCCATTTTTCAACTCCAAGACTTTTTCCAATTGTTTCCCATTAATTTTTAGAAAATTTACTTCACTATGTTGTCATCTACCTTTTACACACTAGTGGAAAAATTGTGTTTGCCTCCCTTGATTTTATTCACTACATTCTTGATTTGTGCTTTAACATGTTTTCCTTGACCTATAAGTGTTTCCATAGTTGTATTGTACTGCACTTCTTTAGCTCTATCTCTTCTGTTGTCAAAGTCTGGAGTTCTCTTTTCTTATCAAGTTCCTCGATCAACCCCTTACAACTTTCTATTGATCTATCAATTTTCCCATACTGATCCTTACTCCATTGCTTTAAGAAAGCCTTAACAACCTTGAGTTTCTTCTTTAGGACATAGTCACCCTAGCCTTTAACATTAGTTGATTTCCAAACCTCTACAATTTTTCCTTTCACCTCTGGATTCCTAAGCCAAGCATCAAATATTGAAAACAGCTTAGGTCCCTAGTCCTTTACTTCGTTTTTCAACAAGACTAGACAATGGTATGAAATACTTCTCCTCAACCCCCACTTTTTTATTCCATTCCATTTTGTGAGCCATTCCTCATTAAGTAGGAATTTGTCCAATCTACTTATGGCTTTCCCATTAGGTTGGTACAATTTAAAACATTTCCCAGTTAATGGTAGATCCACTAGTTCTGCTTCAGCTATGAACTCTTCAAATCGCACCATGTCTTCAACAACTTCCTTACATCCCCTCATTTCCTCCTGACTTCTTATGACATTATAATCCCTATCTACACACCACATCCCCTTATTGCTTTTGATAAGATTGCTTAATTCGTACTGCAACTTGTTTTTCCCCTTATAATCACATGGTGAGTACATATTTACTTTATAACAAGGCACAAGATCCTTACCCCACATCCCATGTACTCCCAAGAATCTAGGCCCCTGAAATGATCTAAACATCTTAAAGCATTCGTTATTCCAAATAGAAAGCAATCCATTTGCACTTCCTTCTGCATCTCTTGATAACCATTCGAAATTATCTGACCCCTACATCTCTCGGCACCCCTTTCTATCCACACCGCCTAGTTTTGTCTTTTATAGCATCAAGAAATCCACCCTTTCCTTATTTTCCAGTTTCTTTATCTCCCTCATTTTCCAACCCCCACTGACCTTTCTTACATTATATGAGACTATAATCATTGACCCACTTTATCCCCCACATCAATTCGCCCATGGGTGTTGATTTCTGGCTGCACTTTATCCCTTTTCTCTATTGATTAATCCTTTCTATTACTTGTTCTTCGCTCCCAGATATCCTTAGCCTTGAAATTCTTCTATTTCCTTGTAATGGATCTGTTACAATTGGTTATATTGCTGTCATTTATAGTACCATTCACAACACTATTGGTGGCATTTAGAACAAAAACTGGCATTTCCTTCCTTGCTTTTCTTCTTCTTCTCTCTAGTTCTTGCTAGATAATCTTAACCTTCTTGTAAATCGCTGTACAAGATTTCAGCTTACAGCATCCTCTCTTACTTTTTTCCTTGTTCTTCATTCTCATCCATTCTTGCAATGTACCCAAGTCACTTTCCATTCCTTCTAAGAAAGAGTGAAGAGATTCTAACTCAATGGTTCTCCCCTTCATCTTTCTTGAGGCCTATACCTTTACTTATTTCATTCCCCTTCTAGACTCTTCTTCACTGTAGGGTCTTACTTATTCCTTTCATTTTGAGTTGGGCTTCCTTGGGCCCCTTTCGAAACATATCCATCTTCATTCAATCCGTTAATGTCCAGCCCTTCATTTACCTTTTTCAAATTGTTATCACTATCGTCACATGGGCCATCTTCTTCCCCTTGTGTTAACACATCTACTAGATTTATCTCTTTTATTATTGAACCCTTTCTATCATCATCCCCCTTGTTAATAATTACATTTGCTACCATATCATTACTATCAGATTATATTACCACACTCATTGGCTCTTGGATGTCTGTTGGATTATTTTCCTTGGTCTTGGAACTATGATCATTAATTCTTGAAGTTTGCCCAACCCATGTTTTAGCCGACACACTTTTATGACCCCTCCTTTCCTAGTTGCTGTTATGAACCCGTGTTATCATCGTCTTCTTCACCAAATTCGGATAGTGTTGAAGATTTCTCAAATTTTCCTTGAACAAGCATTATCTCTTCATGGGAACTCAGGGATCATGATTCACTTGAATCTTCACTTTCAGATTCATTGTTGAACACATAATCAAACTTCCTAATGAATAAATCATTTCTGTGTTCCTCCTTAGTACATTTGATATTATAAAATTCCCCATTTATCTTCCTTGTAAGCACCTTTAAGATTACTTTCACATAGGAAGTGGAGATCAGAAATCTCACCACATCAAATCTTTTTCGGTTATTGGTATTATCATCCAATGTTATAAATTTTCCCAATATCATACTCAAATCATAAAAAAACTTGGGACCCCATGCATGCAAAGGTACACCTTGGCATTGATCCATGCAAATCATTCTGAAGCAACCAAAGCCAGTAACCAAGGTCTAACTTCAACGAACCATTGTGCTAACCAATTGCCTACATTTTCCACTAGGAATTGTAATTTATCCTTGTCCACACTTTGCATCAAGACAAACTTCTCCTTCCAAAACATATCCATCTTCATTTGACCCATTAATGTCCAGCCCCTCATT